ATAGCAGGTGGTGGAACCCCAATTAATTATTTGTTTTTATGGCTCTGAAGCCAACCTTCACTTCCCTGACTGCTGACAAGAGAGGAGATGTAAAGTCGTTCATCCCCACAGCTATGTAAGATTTGTCTAGGTCAGTTTTCTGGGCATAGCACCGAACAAAAGCCTACTGCTCTCTGGGTGGAGAGGAAGGTCCAGGTACACATTAGACAGAAGCCCAGACAAAGACTATGAGCTTCAGCCTTGTCAAGAATATTAATTCCTTTGTATCCTCCTCAGTCATGAAGGGATGCTTTGATAAAAGTGGTGCCCAAAAAGGGGGAATTTAAATGCCAACAGTCCTAGAAGTAGTTACAAGGAGAGCTTCAGGTACAGCCTCATGACCATTCCAGCCCCTTATTATTATTAAAATTGCTATTCTGCTCTGCCAGAACCCTGCTGTTAGAGGCTCCTGCCATTCCTCTGTGCTTGACTGGGCCTTCAGCCCTGTCAAACCCTGTTTCCACCCTGTAAGAGGTTGGGGAATGGATCTGACAATACTACCAAACACAGCACATAAGTCTGTGCAATGTCTGTGCATGTTGGCAAGGCCTGGCAGGTCTCAGTGAGTGTCCTGCACTTCACCCAGACAGGACAGCTGTCTTACCAGCATGACATTCCTTGGTCCTGCCTGAGCCCTGTGCGTGCATCAGAACTACTCACTAAAATCACTGCTGACTTCCCATCTATCAATGGCTGTGGAATTTGGCTCTTTGTATTTCTGGTGTCTTTCCTGTAATACTGTGCTTTACTTTATCAGTCAAGGCTGTGTACATGGTACTCTAGCATATGCCTGTGCTTTGCCTTTCCGTAACTTTCCTGCTAGAATATTTTATGTTCAGTATATTTACAAACCTTAGTGAAATCATTCATGTATTCCCTAATCATTTGCAGCCTCTGTTAGTTAAAATCCTCCTAGTGTGTTAACCATTACCATTTTTAAAGGTCTTCAGGGATGGTATATTAAAGCTGTTTTCCATTAAGCAGTACATGAATAGATTGCCACCTACATTTTGGTATTGATCTTTTGTTTATCTTGTTCAACACTTTGCTGATGGTTTCACTGGGATTTGTAATACCATAACCCCTGCAGTTTTATTTCCTGACTTCGTCAATGGAAAACTGATAGGAAAAACACTTAAGAGATGAGAACTGCAGGGCATAACGTTGTGGTGGCATCTGGGAACCAAAAAAAAACCTCACGGTCACTTCTAGATGTAAAATCAGGCCGAAAAGAAACAAACACAAAATCCTTTGTGTAAAGAGTTAAAAAGGTGCATTATTGTATGTGTGAAGAGAGGGGGGTAGGCTATATTTTGAGAAGTTCAACTAGTTTGGTTCCAATTTATAAGCACTTTTAAATTCCAAGGTTTTTTAATCTTTTCTGCTTCTCTGAATCTAAATAAACGTGGTTTAGTTTCATCCCCTCCCTTTGCTTTTCCTCCTGTGGTTTAAATCAGGAGTTGCTCCTGATAGGAGTTACACCACTGGAAAGGTAGTGTTAGGTTTGTGTCTGGTTCTCTTCTTCCCTGTCTGGAATGTGGGGCAGTTCCAGGACTGTAGCTGTAGCTGAGCTTTGTGTATCCTTATCACAAGGCACTCTGCGTGGTCCTGTAAACTGCAAACTGATAAGTAGTGTATGATTAAAATCAGGTCTCAGGGGTGAGGGGGAACAGGGTGGAAATGTCTAATTGCAGTTTGATTTTAACCTCTTCCTTCCCCACCATCCTGCCTTTCAGCAATGGTTTAACATGTATAAACCCATAACCATCAACACAGCTCTCCTCTCTGAAGAAGCTGATTCCTTTGTGAACAAGCTGGACCCTAATAAGGTATTTAAAAGCAAGAACAAAACTCCAGTGATCAAAAAGAAACCACCCTCCCAGCCAGCAGGCTCCCAAAAGAGTCACACGAGCATGACCTCCTCCAAGACATCCTCACTAGCTGGGAATTCTTCAAGGAAGTAAGACCCCCAGACCTGATCCCGGACGGCATTTGCAATAAGCTTTGATGTTCTCTGATGCAGAGTCTCAGTGGTTCAGACCAAGTTCCTTGTGCATGAATAGATGTGCCCATGGAAAACACATCGCAGCATTTGCATGAAATGTAGCCACGATGTACTTTTGACATGGCAGGGATGTAGTTCCTGGAGACTCTGAGAAAAAAACTCGAGACATTGATTTTATTCCCATCTGCTATTTGCAGCATGTACTTTTCAGAGGGCATGAAGAAGCCCTTGATGTCACTGCTCTATAGGGAAGCTTTTGTTCCTGTGCAACTACAGCAGTGAAATGAAAGCAAATGTAAGTCACTGTTACTTTAATAGACCCATGCTGAAATACAGCATATGAAGCTGTTATTTCTGCCATCTCCTTTGAAAGAAACCTGTCCTGACCTTGCATGCTATGGGAGCAGGCTGGAAAGCACTGAACAAAGAAATATCTTCTGCTTCAGACAGAATCAAACTCCGCACCTCCCTGTGCTCATTCCAACCTCTGCTCTGAGATTCATGGTAGAAAGGGACCTGGGGCTTCATGTGTCTGCATTGGCCTAGTCGCTTGCTCTACAGCCCAGACTGCTTTTTGGCCTTTGTGCCGTAGCTTTTTGGAGAGTGACATCTGTGTGATGCCCTTCCCAATAAGCCTGAAGGCAGCCAGAAGCTGCAAGATCCGTCATTGCCTCTGCTTTCTCCTCTTGTGGAAACTGCTGAGCCAGGGCAGGTCAGTGGTGTTAAGAATGAGTCCCATAAGCCAGGAGGACCCCTTGGTTTGTCACACAGTCATTTGCAAAGTTGACCATTCAAACAGCCTTTGTCACTTTTCAACTGGGCAGGATCTGACCAGGGGCCACTGAGATCCTACAGCCTTAGAAGCCCTTGATGCTGTTGTCTATACTGTAAGTTTTCAGGTTAGATCTGCACTTTAACCCATCCACTGCTGTTTTTCAGTTACGTCTGATTGTTTCCATTACTTTTCTTTGCTATTCTGTCTTCTTAGATGTTCTGGAAACACATGGTAGCAACCAACATATTTTGTGCCTAAGCAGGGAAATCAAAGTCACCATCTTCAAATAAGCATTGATTATTTAAACAGCATCATCTTTTATTTATGAAACAGTCACATAATTGCATAAGACAAACCTACCTCACAGGGATGTTGTGAGGCTTTCACGAGTATTTGTATGGCCTTCAGGAAGATGAAGCCACCCTGTAAGTGCTTAATAGTATTTTAATAAAGATTTTAATATTTTCCTCCAGAATGACTGGGTATTGGAAGATGCTTTTGGGAGCACGTGCACAAGGACGTATTGTAAGAGCAGGGTGCAGGCTGGATTGTTTCGCTTTTTTTTTTTTAATACAGTGGAGAATCTCTCACTGAGAAGTGATGGGTTACAGTGTCTTTTAGCTAATCCCATCTTGAGCTACTCTGAAGTTCCCAGTTTAGTCCACATAGACCAAAAGACTCAGCTGTGTGACACTTGTGTCCTGTGCTTACCGTTCAAAATCTCTGCAGCCATCAGCCCCAGCTCTGGCATGCGTTGCTGGCTTCCAGCACTGCCCAGGTCCCACCCTCAAGTGCGGTTGCTGCATTGCCTGGCAGCTGCTCTCTGTCACCCCCAAATGAGAGAAAATCCTCTAATGCTCTTCAGCTCTCTTAAGCTGATGTGCGTCTTGTGACTGGTGAAGATCTGCTGTAGCTGCTCTACTAATACAAGGTCAGCTCTAATGAGGGAGCAGAGGCGTCAGTACCTACCACCCCACCCCATGCCACAGTAATACATTAGTAATCCTTTTAATAGTGAGCTGTGAATGATCATTAAAGCCAGTAAATGCCATTTTCTGGAATTCTGTGCGGTAGTGATGTTCTGTCACTTCCTACTCTTGGAGATCCCTGTGTTGTGTTTCATGGTACCCAGCCCTGGGACTGCTGTCACGTGCTTGACATACGTACCATACTTGCTTAAGGACTTTCTAGAAAAGTTAAGACTGTTGTCACCCCCCTGGGAACAGGCAGCTTCTGATACTGTTTTACTTTTAAACCGATGATACCCCAAACTTGTAAGGCTGTTGCAGGCCCACTTCGTCATTCAGATGGAGGTGGCAGAATTCTTGCAGGAGCAGGGTAGCCTATTCCCACATTTCTCATGCATTCAGAGTGGAGAAAAGGGCTTTGGTTTTTTTTGTTTGAGCATTTAGGGATGCTGCCACAGAAGTTGTCTGAATCCTTTCATATGGTGGTAGTTAAAGTCTAGCCTGTAAGTAACACATATGGTTCCATGATGCCAACGTGTTTCAGCAATGCTGTGCCAGGATTCGGGAGACCCTGTAGTTTAGTTTACTAATATTTTGGTGCTTCCTGGATGTTCAGATCAAAAAGCAAAAACCAAAACCAAGCAAAAAAAAAAAATCAGGTTCGGGCTTCTATTTCAGGCTGTCCTTGCTCTTCTCTTCTCTGTGCTCTGCTAAACTAGTTGTTCGCTAGGGTGATAGATTAGCAAATGAAAGCAATCCTAGGCCCCTGATCTATCAGTGTAATATCTGCCTCTTACCAAAGAATATTCTAGATCAAAATTCCTTTAAGTTAATTAAGTTGTTTCTGCCACTGTTGGATCCTGTATTTTGATTTCTATAAACATACAGGTATCTGGAGTCTTGCAGCTCTGCTTTGCTTTTCTCCAGAATGTCATGATTTTTTTTTTTTTTTGTAGATTTTTACACAGGGAGATTGAGTAATTTCTTCAGGTCACAGACAGATCTAGCCCTACCCGGGTCTGCCCAGTGTCTCAAAGACGCAGTTTGTCTGGTTAAACAGAGTAGGTTATTGAAGACTAGTCCCTCATTTCTCCACCTTCAGGGTGGAGAAATGGTGTGCACATCCCCTTATCCACTTGGTTACCCTTTGGCTGTCAGTCCATACATCCACATAGGCTTTGCTGTCAGGCCCTTTCCTCAGAGCGTGTGGCCATCACAACGTAGAAGTCTCCACCGCTGGCTGTCCTTTCTCGTTTCCACTTTCCGGGACAGGTTGGTTATGAAAATCAATGAAGAGTTTGTGGATTAAAACACCAGCAAGACTTCCCAGAATCGGAGCTGTGAGTGGGACCCACCACCAGCAATGTCCAGCCCTAAAATGAAACACAGAAGAGGCAGCCGGTGAGCCAGAAGAACTGCTGCCCTGCCGCCGCATGGCACAGGGTGAGGTGAGCTGAGTCTGCTGGGGCAGGAGTGAGCAGAGGTGTCTAGTCCCATTTGACATACTGGGCCCTACAACTGGCTTAGACAAATTATCCACCAGGATGATTGCTGGAGGGAGGATCATTTTCCTCATCGGCCTGCAAAAGTGGCTCTGCACTGTCTGCAGGTTCTTGTTCTCCCACAGAAATGGTCTGTGTGATCCTGATGAGTGTGACTGTCAGACAGACAGACAGACACACACACACACACCTTTTCCTTCCCAGCTTCAAATAACATCTACACCTCCTCTACCAAGCTCTCAAAGAGATTTTCTGGAATTTTAATGAAAATGGGCAGCCGGGACAGGAGGGACTGCTAATGCCCTCTCTATGGGAAAAGCCATAGCATGGCACAATCTTACTAGATAGGGGAAGGCAGGGTTTCATCTCCAGATTCAGACATCTAAATTTAGGAGAGCTATTCAGCAATCCAGCTGTAAGTACCTGCTTTCAGGTGAGCTGAATTGTTCTCTGGCTCTCCAGTCACTGCAATAACCAGCTATATCTCTAGCTAACAGGTAGCCAATTTGGTGCCCATACTGATGTATCTGAATGTCAAGATGAATCCCATGCTGGAGAATTCGTGTATCCCAAATTTTGTGTACATAATGCACAGGGCTCGTCTATGCACAACTGTTGCTCTCCGAGAATGGAGAAAGCACTCTGCAGCGATACCATCACTTGGTTCAAAGAAAAAGGCTTCATGACCATTTTATCTTGGACTTATCTCCTCTCCTTGTGAGCTGAGCAGTGTAAAAGCAAAACAGGTCACTCACGTGAAGACGTCCATTCCCCAGCCAGCAATTGCCGTGAAGACCCTGGGGGGCAGGTCCCGAGAGGGGTTTATGGCATAGCCTGTGTTCATCCCCATCCCCAGGCCGATGCCCAGGACCAGGATACCCGTGAGCAGGGCCTGCGTGCCTTTCAGGGCTCCGTTGTTTTTCTCGTCATGGATGATCAGAATGCCCAGCATCAGCATCACTGTTGCCGTAAACTGCAGGAGCAGGAAAGGGGGAACAGGTCAGGAGAGAGAATGGGGAAGGCAAGGCAGAAGGATCCTGCTCAGCAGAGAGGAACAGACTTCCCAGAATGGAAGAGCAGGTGGGATTCATGGTCTGATCAAGTCAGGGAGGACCCCGATGTTATTCCCTCCTCACAGGTGGACTGAAGAAAAGTCCAGACTCATTTCCCAGCAAAAAAGTCTCCACCTCATCACCAGAAATGCTCTAGCACTGATATGAACTTCTCAGCACTGTCCTCTCCCTCCACCTTTGAAGTTAGGGACATGGGTTACTTTAAGTACATTTTGTCTAACAGAGGCAGAGCCATAACAAACTGCTAACGAGACAAATCTGATCCTCCCTAGAGGGAGTTATGTTTTATATAGCCTGTTGCATTAGCCCTTTCAGGACTAAAAGCAGATGATACCAGATTCTCATCTGGGAAACTGAATCTTCCGTCTGTGACAGTACGTAGCTGGCATTTGTAGATCTGCAGTGCCCAAGACGTCAGGAGCTGTGGTTTGAATAGAGGTGATGACTCCTGTCTCTTTCTGCTTCAGAAAATGCATCTGAAAAGCCTTGGACAAAGATGCCAGCAAAAGCAGAAACTCTGCAGCTCTTGGCAATGCACTGTCACTGTCATTTACTTTCTTGTGCAGCAAGGACACTGCGTGCTCCACAGGAGGCTGAGTGACCAGGTCCCCACCTGTAGGCTCTCCAGCTCTCACCGTCCTCCTCGTCATGCCCAGGCAAGAGTTTTGTCAGCTCAGAGACAAAAGCACAGGCTTCCTCAGATTTGAATTGGAAGTGAATCTTCCTTCTCCAGTGTCCCAGTGCTCCATGTCCCCTGAAGCATCCCCTTCCTATTTCTGGGCATCTCGACATTGTGTTGTATGCTGGGAATCAACTGTACACAGTCTAAATTGGACTGTTCAAACCCCAGAGGTTCAATCCAGACAGGCTGTGTTCATGTGAAGACAGTCCCGGGCCCTCTGTGCAGGTGAGGGGCAGCCAGCAGAGCTGCCTGGGAGAGTGGAGCAGGTGTAGGATCCAAAAAGGAGAAGAACAGTTCAGAGACCTGCCCAGAGCCCAAAGGAGATAGTTCCTGATATAGCTCAGCTTCTCACTTCCCATTGCTTGGGCTGCATGCAGGGAAGGTGTTTGGAGGGCACTAGGACCAAGCTGCAGAACGGCCTGCAGGCGTTAGCTTTTAGGCTTGCTCAGCCACCAAGGTGCCTTGGATCCTACCTGTGTGGCACCTGCCCGGATGGTAGGCTCCTTGGAGTAGAGGTTGTGATTGTGTCTGCACACATAGCACTGTGAGTCCCCTGTAGCAGACCTGCAGTAGCACCTGCTACCACCCACCTTCTCCTAGCACACCAGAGCAGTCCCCACTGACCTCTGTGAAGAAGCCCCCCAGCAAGGATACATAGGGAGCGGGGTAAGTGGAGAAGATAGATGCCGTGGCAGTTGGTCCCGTCACTGTAAAGTTCCCCTTGGTGTAGTCATACAGAGCATCTAGGAGAAATGGAAATTACAGGAGTTAGCACAGAGTTCACCCCACATGGCATGTACGCAAGTCCATCCATCGCAGCCAGCAAGGACACCAAGGGGAAGAGAAGCAATGGGAGATATGATGGAGGTGACACACCCCTCGCAGGGCATGATCTCACCAATATCTGTTACCTACAGACTTTGGTCTGCAGTTGCTTCCTTATGCCTACCAGCTCCATGTCCCTGCTTCAGGAGCCTGGGACAGGCTAGACGCTCTGGGTGCACTGGAGGCCTCCGTCCCTCTGCCCCTTGGAGACTGAAACATGCTGGAGCCAATGGGTGGTGTGTCCTCTGTTCACAACTCAAAACCACAGATGTCTGCTGTTCTGTTTTCTACAGACCAGCAGGGTCTCCCAGAGCTCCAGCTGTACCTAATGTGCGGTAGTCCATCTAACTCGAGCCTTTGCAGATCCTGGAAACAAAATGCTGACAAAATGCAGCTACTGGCCGTGAGTTAAGGACAAGTTTTGGCAGTGGGAATGCCCTGAGCAAAAGGAGCTGTGCTCTCCAGGAACTGCACATCCTTCCTAGATATATCTGCGCCTTGCTCTGGCCTTGAGTTATGAAGGTCTGTCCCACAAGCCAGGAGCTCGCCCTCCTCACCCAGACATCATACTGGGTACTGTAAAAGGAAATATTTTTGACAAACCGTGAGTTAAGACCAAAATGGTGCCCACAGGAACCCCTGTGATAAAGACACAACCATACCGTAGTAGAGGCCAAAGACAGTGGCTGGGGCCGTAAAGGAGCCCAGGAACTGGCCGATCAGATAAGCTGGGAGCTTTCTCCAAGGGAGGTTTCCTAAAATGCAGTGTGTGAGGGTGATGGCAGCATTCAGATGAGCTCCTGCAAAATCACAGCAAAAGAGAGTGGTCTTGACCCTGATGAGACTGTTTTGGAGCATGCCCCGGGCCCCACAGTAACCACCCAGACCTTGCTCCAGAACACCAAGACTCTCAGAGGGCAGGGTCTCCCTCCAGCACAGATTCAAAACTGACCCATTTTCCCTGGGCAGCTAAATGATTCAGAGCGGAGGGCTCCTAGCTTTAGTCCTCTAAAAATGAGAAAACCTCTGCTTTACTCTCTGTAAATCACAGGCTGCCTCAGTCATCTCACTTGTCAGAGACACCGCTCTTGGCATGGCATGAGTTTCCCTCTGTATGAGTTTCTCTCTATTCAACTTAAAGGGAGCCCAGAACTTAGACTCATCACCCACCTATTATATGGCTACAGGTAGATGAGGCAAATCTTAACCCAAACAATCGCAAGGCCTTCTGAAAACATCTGACAGGCAAGGAGGGCCTCATCCTGGCAGAGCTGAGCACCCCAGCTGATGGGATCTGCAGGCCCTTAGCACATCTGGCAGGCAAGGCATGAGACACCGGGGAAACAAACTGCAAAATTAACCACTGATGCCCCATATCTTCATGTCTGCAAAGCAAATCCTACACAGGGCTATCAGCAGGGATTCAGATTAGCTCTGATGTCACTGCATTGAGAAAGGGTTAGCAGGATGGTCAATCCTGGCCAGACCATGGTTGCTCCCACTATTGTGGAGCAGACCCTGTCCTTCCCTTGCAGAGTTTGTAATCTTGGACTGCCTTTCTGTACACCTTTTAGTACATGGCTTTCGTACAGTGCAAGACCAGTTCTCCCTGTTTTGAGGGGACACCTTCTGTGGAGGAGGTTGGTATCACAATGGTGCTTTTGGAGAAAGACTAAGTGGATCCAGGTTTGGTGCCCTCAGTGCAAACCACATTTGTTCTCCAGGCCTCATCTCCCCACGAGTCCAAAGGAAATATTTCCTTTTTCCTGCCTAGTAGGTGTAAACTTTGGGGGTTAGTAAATGCTCCAACCTTAGTGGCCTTTTCCTACTCCAGACTCAGAAAGGGGTAAGAGCCAGACACACGTCATCTCACCAAAGTACAGGACAGAGTGAAGTGAAAGTGCATGTACCACCTGCTACAGTCCCACAACCACAACTGAAATGGAGGGAGGCCCCTTTTTCTTCGATCCTCTGATCCTTTGCAGGCACGACCAGCCATTTCAGAGATCACAAGAAACATCTTGTGACACAAATGAAGCCAAATCACAATGCCAAGAAGCCCTGAAGCTGGCTCCAGAGCCAGCCTGTTGCTGGCTGAGCTGAGACCCTTCCTCCCACCTCCCAGTCCTCAGCAGATCAGCTCCATCTCAAATGTCACCTGGGACTGCGGGGACCTGCTTTCCTCAGCCCACTTTCCCCAGGATGTCTCCACCAGCTCCAAAAGGACAGGGAGACCAAGAGCTGACTGCTTGCATGGAAAAATTTTCCTTCCCAAGCCAGCGCCAGCCTTGGACATCTCTGCTCCAACAGTTCAAGAACAAGGACTTGCTTTAATTTCCTGCCCACTAGAGCCCTTAATCTCTTCTCTTGGTGCAAATGAATGCAGAAATTGCACAAGGCAAAGGTAATGCTCTGTCATGTGAGAGATACCACCCCATGGTCCTGAAACACCACCTCCTGAGTTCGCGTGGGGCGTGTGCGCATGGGTGTGGATGATAAGGAGAAAATTTGCATACCATTCCTTGTTGCAACATCAGCAGTAAGCTCTCCTTTACAATAAATTATTTACTTCCCCATGGGTCAGACTGCCAGCATGTTTTCAGAGCTCCTTGTCTCCTTGGGCCGTGATGGCATATCCCAAGCACCTAGCCAGTGCACTGCTGAAACCTGTCTCAGCTCAGGACACGCGTCTGGGGTCAGCATACTGTAGGTATGCTGTGCATGCCTTGTCCCCTGCTTCTGATGCTGCCGCGCCATCGCGACTCCTTGGCTTGACTTCAGACCTGCCTCCCCACTACAGACTTGGCTGTGATCGCTGGGTCACAAGGCTGACCCTGGTTATGGTCACCAGACCTCTCTGCTCTTCTTGCCTGGGCACCCTAGGACTGCCTTTTTTTCTGGTGAGGGCACTGCCCTGCCTTGCCATGCCATCACCCACCCCTCCGCAGCCCACTCCTGCTGCCTCCAACGCATGTGGCCTTCATAGGACATAGAGATGTTCTGTGCTCAAGTGTCCTGCTCACCAGAGATTCCTCCAGCTGCATGGATGCCCAGGGTAACACCAATGCCAAATCCCAAATTGATGCTCAGATGCTGCCCAAAGTCTCCTCTTCCTAATACCACTTGTGCCACGGAAGACAAGCCAAAGACCTAGTGCATGGGAAAAAAAAAGAGAGAAAGAAGTGTTAAAAGTAGTGTTATTGTTGTGGTGGACTGAGCTTCTTTGCTACTTTTTCTGCAATAATCTTCCAAAGACAGGAAGACTCTAAGGTGCCCATGGTCAGGAGATGAAGTGAGAATGACCCTCCTCTGCAAAAATTGAATGGATAACTGGATTATTCCTCACTGGTGACCATCACACCAAACCAGGCGCTCTGGTCTGGCTTGGATACAAGGGAGACAAACCCCAGACACCGCACCGAGGTCCCGGGCTCGACTGGGATCACTCACACAGCTGCGGTAAGGGCGTCTGCGCCTGAAGCCAGGGACATGAGGCAGGGGAGCATCACCACAGATTGCCCGGAGGCGGCACCCAAGCCGGATGGAAGGAGGGCCGGCAAATTCTTGTTGCCTTTCTTTTCCTGGTGTGCAATTTACTGACTAAAAATGTAGTTTGGGCAGCACATAGCTATTTGCCAAACTCAACTCTCATTTTGGTAACTTATTCTGGCAAAAAAACAAGGAGGGAAATTCTGGTTTGACTTTTCCTTTCAACACATATACTTTCAGTTTGAAAACAGCCAAAATTTCAATATTTTTTTTGTGACTAAAGGGGAACCGGGGAAAAAATTAAAAAGAAAAGTAAACACTCTCTGGCAGGAAAAGAGATATTCAAGAAATTGCTCTGACCTGAAAGTAAATTCTATTTCACTTTTTTAATGTGGTCAGAAGGTGGAAAAATCGGTTCTTTGCACAGCTCTTACACTGAAATCTGGAGAAGGACAAAGCTTCTCTTGAGGTCTCTGCCTCACAAACCACTTAGGGCTTGGAGAGTGTATCCTGTTCCTTGAACTGCACCGATGTTTATCCAGGGTGACATGTCCCTCCAAGACAAAGAAGTCAGTACATTGTCCAGCAACAGACTTCTGCTCTAGCCTGTGCTGTTTTGACTCAGATCTTTACTGGCTGCTCTGTCTGGATCCAAATTTTATCTCACGCGTCTGCTCTCCCTCTTCCCTTTCAGACATCACCAAAATTCCCTGTTCCCCAGAGACACTGTTCTTATCTCTCTCATATACACAGATCACAGTCTGTGCTCTGCACGGAGCTAAAACCTGCATGGTGTGAGCCCTTCTCTCAGTGAGCCTCAGCAAAAGCCCCAAAAAGCAGTGGCCAGGATGTCCCCCAGCATCTGCAATGCCCTTATAAAAACTTTGCCTACTCATCTCTGAGCTTTTCCAAAGCCACATCCCAGAGAAGCCAAATGCATAAAACACAGGTTTTGCATGCAGGTGCAGAGAGAGGGTTGCAGGGCAGGAGACGTGCCTGTTGTAGCTGAACAGCACTATCCTCAAAAAAACACAGGACAAGCCAGAGAATCTGTTTTTCAGCACAGATCCAAACCTCTGGTCTCTTCCTCTATTCTCACAGTCCCAAAATAGACTTTAGTTTTTCCTACGTCCCTGCTCCTTGTGCTGTTTACTCCCGCTGCATAGTTCCCTCCTTTATGAACGTTGCCTGTCCATTAAAGCAAGAGGCCCTGGCTGAGCGCTATCATCCAACTAACAGCCATCCAGGCATCCCAGAGATGCACCCAGCACATTCCCGGTTGCAGTAAGGGCCAGGGGGCTGCTGAGGAGTTGGATGCTGGATGCTACGTTCGGATGCTGGATGCTGTTCGCAGCCAGCCCTTGATGGGGGTCCGTGTGCAGTGTCCCTCCTCCTACTCTTCCCTTGTGAGGATCAGTGAGGGAAGAGCCAACATGAGCTGCAGGCTCCAAAATCTGCCTTGGACTATCAGAGTGCAGAGAAAAGTCTCCTCATGCCGCTTCCCAGAGACAGCCCTGGCAGGGCACCCCTGAACTTGACCTTTATCACCTGGAAATTTCCACAACCAAAACACAAAGAGAATGGAAAAGGAAAATGGTTTGGTCAGCTCCTGCTGAGGAGTCACAGATGTCTGTACTCTGACTTCCAGTGCATGCAAAACTATCTGTGTAGTAAGGAGTGAATTTCAAGGAGCTGGATGTGCAAAAAGATGTGATAAAAAGCAAGCATCCTTTGCCCATATGGTCGTTGCCCTTGAAAATAAGCACCTTTATCTGTACAGACAGCTGTGTCAAAAGGTCCACATGTTTACACAAATCTTATCTTCCTCCTGTGCAAATCTCCAAGTACGTGCTATTTGGATTATCCCCAGCCCTTCCATGCCAGCCTCTGTCCAGTCCAAAGCATCTCTCAGCCCAGCAGTGCTTGCAAGCTAAGTCCAGGTGTAGTAAGTTGGCACAGACAGCTACTGGACCTTTTCAGAGGGAGGATCTCGTTTTGCTATGTTGGTCCAACACACGGAGGCTCTGGTCCCGGTGGGCACCTCACCCCCATCAGGGATCAATTCTGACTGCAGAATCTTCCTCGCCCTCTCCCCAAACACCTCCGAAGCAGCCCAAGAACTCAAAACCTCTTTGCTTTTTCTGTGTGAAACAGATCCCTCAGGCAAGGGGGGAGTTTCTGTATGATTTGGATAAGCACTATTCATTTGCCACCATAAGAAAACCAAAAGTAAAACCCTGGCATGCTTTACACCTGGTAATTACATTTCCTAATGGTGGGTTGTGGCTCGGGAGAGTTTCACAGGCGTTCATTACCCTGACAACCCCAAGAGGAAGATGGATGAATGCTGTTTGCATTTCACAGAGGCTGGCTGTGGTAGGGGAGTCAGGGCCTGCTCCCCAAACCTGTGCAGGACTCCCCAGCCACACCATCACCTCTAGCACGGCAGGAAGAAAAGCCTCGATTCGCTGCATGGGATCTTTCAGGGGGGTTGGCACAAGTGTTGCGTTGACCCATCTGACCAGACACTGCTCTTTGGTTTCATTCCCCAACTCTTCCTCATTTTTCTCCTAGAAGAGAACTGAAACAGCGGCTTATCCCCACCCGCTTCACGCTCTCCCAGTGCCCACCTCCCCCCTTTGCATTGCTTTTTTCCTCCAGAAGGTTTTTGACAGATGGTCTACCTGATGGGAAGCTGTTGCCCCACCAGAGCAGAGGGGTGAGCAGTAGCAATCAGCTGGTGAGCAACCCTGAGGATGGGGTAGGAAACCACTGACCTTACAAATTGCTGCTGCAAATGCTTACCCACTCACCTGCCCTGCACACACACATGCACAGACACGCACATCTGGGCCTGTCTCCTGCTTACCATGAGGATGAACATCCCCAGCGCTTCTGCCAGCAGCTCCCTGATGGTGCCGCTACGAATCGTGAGCGCCTTCTGAATCTTCTCCAGCATTTTGCTTTCCAGCTCCAGCCTGCAGCCACGGGAGCTCCTGTTGTGCCAGCACACTTCATTTAAGTTACCCTTTGAAACCTGGCACCCTCCCTTCACCCCCAGACACCTCCATTCATTTGGTTAACGATGAACAAGCCAATAAAGTAGGAGCTAGCTTCAAAGTCTTCCCACACACACATGCCATCCTTTTAAAACTATATGGTAAGGATGCAATATTTCTGCTACCGGGGCATTGCAAACACTGTGCCTCTGCCCAGGAGCAGTCTATCTCCAGAGCGGTGGAGCTGTAAACAGCTCCTAAAGCCTGTCTTTGTCCGTAACTTTTTCCACAGGAGCTGAACAGAAATTTTGGCTCTGCTCTGCATTGTAACGCACTGGCTGGTGGTTTGGTGCCATTTTTTTTAACAGGTGGGATTAGGACCATTTGCCTGTGCTTTGCAGGACTATTTGGATGCCCAGCCTGCAGTGAGGATGCTCTGCCTGGAGCAGGTGTGCACCGCTGTCTGCAGCTGGGAAGAGCACAACGCCTTGAGCGTCGCTTCAGGTTGAATATTTGTTCTTGCTGAATGCACCTGTGTCGGCAGCTCCCATCACACTAGCGGAGAGCCTCCCTGCCACCCCCCGGGTCCGTCCTCTCTTGTGGGGCAAGCAGAGACCAGTCTCGGCAACGATCCCCAGAGACCTTCAAACTCATCTGGCTGCCAGAGCAGAGCCCTCACCGTCCTGATTCCTCCTCCATCTCCTGATTCCCTCTGCTTATCTCCCTGCTCATCAGGTGCTCTTACCTCTCCACTGTGAAAAGGTTTTAATAACTTTCCTTAATCACTGAAAAACTTAAACCCACTGAACACTCAAGAACTTTTTCTGCAAGCCTGGTCTGGTTCTTCGCTGGTTTTCTTTGCCTTCCTCTCAACCTGCTGCAGCTTCTCAGTGTGGCTCTGGAGGGGACACAGTGCACAGCTCTGGAGAGGTTACCAGCAGCTGCCCTGATGGGGACGCAGCACTCTGCTCGTGCTGCCCCTGGTGTTGTCTCCCTCTGCACTACTGCACTGCAAAAGTTCATGAGCTTTTCCTTCACCTACAGGACACTGAGCAGCTGTATGGAAGAACCAGGGAAGCCAATTCTCCTCTCTGCTCCATAGATTATTGTCTATCTTATGGCAGGGAAGGGTTTTATGGACTGGGGTAATCTCTCCTCCAGTGACAGATTAGCTATTGACCTCAGTGAACACCTGGCTAAATATGCAGTCATTTACTAGCCTGTCTCTGATACTAAGGATGATCTAATCATGACGGATGATAATTACGCTGCTGGCAAGGGGATTCCTACAGCATATTTCTAGATGGGAAGGTTATTTTTGTCCTATGAGTCTGTGAGCCATGCTGTGGCACAGAAAAAGTGGCCGATAAATCTTTCCAGGTCGCTTCATTCTCTGCTATGCAAATGTTTATTGGTGGAGCACAGAAACACGGGCCCTGGAGCACCAGATCAGGGTGGTGGCAAGAGCCTGGAGTTTGTTCTGGACGTGGTAATTTCCAGCTGACATGTAAAGCTGAGGTCTTGGCATCAGCGTGTGTTGGAGATCTCACAGCCTTACTCAGAGTGAGCGTGTCAGTATCCCCCACAACTGGACCTACAACTTCATTTTTCACTCCTAGATCTCAGGGAGCCTTCCAAGTGGATTCCTCCCCTGTGGGCAAACAAAAAAGCTGCCGTGTCTCTGAAAGGCTTTGTCTCCTGCATTCAAGCATTAACTATAAGCATCTCCATATTCTAATTTGTGCTGAAAAATGGACACACATTTTCTGGGAACACTGGACTCCCATGGACTTGCAGTCTTCTCAGAGAAAAAGGCAATCCCAGTTTGAAATAGAAATCTTTGGTTTGGTGATAATATTTGCAGCATAATCCCTGGTATTACCACCAAAGTCCCTAAAACTCCAGTATGCTTCTAGGATGGCATCATGGATCACTGGATGTGCCTCTTTCTGCTGCTTGTCCTTTTACACAGATCGTTCCACAAGATGGCACTGAGACATTAATTTCTCCCTTAAAACTGTTCAGATGGGTTCCTCTGTTGGCTGCTGAAAATGTGAGAACCCTTTAGTTTTAGGGTTCCTTCGGGCAGTTTTATACATTAAAGAAAGTTGATCTGCCAGTGTTCAAGGAGCGTAACAACAACAAAAACCAAAAAACTTTCTATGAGTCCTACAGGGCAAAGCACCACTGCTCTGACAGTACACAAAACCGAAATGTGTGAGCCTGCGCCTGTCACTCTCCACATTTATAATCAGCAGGGAAAATCAGGCAGCTCCAAAGGGCAGTTCATCCCCACCTAAAATAAACACCGAGGCCAGACCTATGAGTCATGATGGATGCTGGCAGTTTCTCTCCAGTGTCTGCACCGGGACGTGGAGTGACTGGCTCCAGCATGCACATCCACGTGGGGATATCTAGCGCCAGGTGAGCTGGACTGCCCTTCCTCCCTGCGACCAGATGTAGTGATCCTGAGCGAGCCCAAACAACCATGTGAGTCAACCAAGGGCTAGAGCACGAAGATCTGCCAGCTGTCCAACATGACCTGTTCATACTTGCATGGTTTCTCTTACCTGCAGGGCTGACGAGGATCTCTGGGATCACCATACACAGTCCCCTACTACCATAAAGCAGCCACACCACATCCCTTTCATGACCAGGCCAGTCTCCATTTTAGGGGTAAGTGCTTTTTGCCCCAATTCCTCCTGCTGGAAGCCTGTTACCAGAACTTGCTGCTCTGGAGATTAGAGACTTTCTTCTAATTTCCAGCCAAATTCTCGAAGCCATTTGTTCATGTGCCAGCATTACCACATCACAGTCATGAGTTAACTCATTTCTTACAGGTGCTATCCTGTAAAGTTTTCCTATAAGGTTTGTTAGGAGCACATTAGCTGCTTGCACTTAGCTTTGCACTGCCTCCTCATGTTTACCTTGACTTGCTCACAGGTTGAAACTTCACTCAACATTGACCCTACAAGGATCTTACGGTGTTTTCCACCACACATTAAGCAACTACCTGCTAAACCAAACCCATTTCTTCCTTAAGGCAGGTGCACTTTCAGCACGAGTAATAAAGGCCTCAGTTTGGAAAGGAAAATTCTGGCACAGTCAAGGCCCACTAACTGTGCTGGTGTTAATACCCATGGTACTGAAGGGCCAGGGGAACAATCCCCCTGGGTCCTGCTAGAGCAGCCCTGGGAACGATGAGCACACAGGGACTCCAGGGCAGTTGTGCTTCTGCAAGGAATAACTTCTCTCACTCAGTTTGACAGTGCATGTATTTCCTCTGCACCCAGGAGCTCATTTATCTCTTAATTGTGCTAATCAACAGCTGGAACGTCGCCACTCCATTAGCTTCAGCCCCGCTGGTGGAGCATTAACTTCTCCCCAGAGACTGAGAAAAGCATGAGCAGACAGCACAGCAGAGGAGCTGTGGATGAGGACAGCTTGCTCCTCCATCAGACCAAATGAACACGGCACCGAGACATCTCCAGCCCCTTTAGGAAGCAAAGCCAGACCAGAGAGACCAGTACAGCACTGGTATGACCTTAACTGTCCAGGACAGATCCCACTTGATGTACTCTAGAGCACCCACACCTGTGGTCTCACATCTAATGCTCATGGTCTATCTCCTCCTCTCCTTTACGGATGGCAGGCACTGAGCAAGTTGCAGACACCCCAGATAGTTGTCTCTCAGCAGATGGCTTTGCTCTCCATACTGTTACCGAACTCCCCATTCCCAGGACACCATCCTCCACAGCCTTTCAGCTCACCCTGCACACCATCGATCCTTTCCCTGAAGCTGTCCAAGGGCGCATCACCTGCACCTGCTCACTTCCAGTGAAACCAGGCTAGCTCTTACCGTGCCGGGCAGAAGTGGGAGCTGGAGGGACCGACGAAGGGATGTGGTGGCACAATGGTGGGATCCTGCTCCGGTCCGCAGCCCTCTGCTTCACTCCTCAGGGGCATGGTGCCTCCCCACCCCAGACTGCTAACACTCACTCAGCTGGAGGTAATCCATGAGGCGGTGGTGTCAGCAGGAGGGGAATTACATGGCTTTTGTTCGTCATTAGGGCAAGAGCAGGGCTGTCCAGGAAGGGGTCGCCTGGGGCGGCACTGGCCCCATTGTTGGGCAACAGAGCAGAGGGTGCCTGGGCTCCCCTGGCTGGGGACCCACCCACCCCATGTTGGGCCACCCTGCCCTCCTGCCCTCCGTCTGGCTTTCCAGACAGAATCAGGTCATTTTATACACAGCAAAGCGTGATGGTTTTTGAGGCGTCTCGCTGGCTTCCATCTGGGCAAAGCCCTGGAAGGTCTCCCCCGTGCACAGGTGTAGGGCGGGCATTTAACAGGGAAAGAAACAGAGGCACAAGGGCACCTCAGTTCCTGCAACAGACTTAGGATACCTGTGGGATTTCCACCGACATCCTGCCAGCTCCTCATCTGCTGTCATCCCCCATTCCCTGCCCCATCCCTGACCCGTGAGCATCTTGTTCTCCTGACCTGCTCAGGGCCAGGCTCCCACCATACCTCTGTGTGTGGGAGCATCACCTAGCTGCCCCAGGACCCCACTGTGGGGCTCCCCCAGACCCCGTTAGAGAGCAGCGGGCTCTGCGGGTGCAAACACTCCTGCCGAGCTTTGAGCTGCCTGCTCGGGTCTGCTTTCAATCCACCGATAAAGCGAAAGCCAGGGAAACCACAGGGCTCACAGGACATCGTCACCCTGGAGATAAGAGGAGCCAGACTTTCTCCTGGAGCAGTGTGAACACCCGTGCTCTGAAAGGAGAGATTAAAGGGGAAAAGCTGCAGGCTGGGGCAGAGACACCGGGTGAGCTCAATGAGATCCTGAAGTTGCAGAGTCTGACGGAGCCAGCATGCTGATCTGAACGTTTCCCTGCCTCTGGCCGCACCCAGGAGACATCAACACATGGCTGTGTCCTCCCCTCAGGACACAATGAGTTCACTCTTACAAATGGTGCCACCAACAAAACCCCTCATGCTTCAGTTCATGCCATCTCCTCTGCCTCATCCCTCCTCCAGATGCTCCAGTTCAGGACAGTCTGCGGAACCCACCGGCCCAGCAACCCCCTAAGTAACACCAAAAAGGCACAAGCCTGTGTTAACAGATCGAAAGAGCAAAACCAGAGCAGGGGCTGATGACACGAACACAGCCATGCCTGCTCCCTCTGTGCTAGAGCAAGGCTGAGCCAATACTCAACATAGTCCTTCACAGCCACCAGATGTTTAAGGGTGGCCTGCATCCATACAGGCCACTTTCATAAACTACACCTGTAAACCCTTTGAGAGATGATGCTAAACCCATAGGTGGACCATCTTCACTGCTAGCTGTGATACAGATATTTTGTGGGGTGAGGAACCAACTGGTGACAGTAATCATTGCCCATATGTATAATCAGTGAATTACCCAAACCCCAGCTGTCAGCCACACGACCGTGTTGTCTCGTATCACACCTGCCACAGTGTGTCCAAAGCCCATCCAGCGGCTGACATGACTCACACCGGTGGTGAGCAATGACTGTCGCGTGGGATTTGTCCTTGCTCTCTCCACAGGGGAGGGAAAGGCCAGGATGCAGGTGACTGGGTCAGCTTTCTCACAGTCAACCCACCCCAGCCCAGAGGGCTGCTGCTGGTGCGGACGTGAAGGCATCCAAAGGAAACCCCCGATAAGCTCCCGCTATCACGGATGGGAGAAGATAACACAGATTCCTGGCAGACACATGCGCAAATCCCCTCCGATGCTGCCCAGCCTCTCCCAGGGCCCCAAGAAACCCTACAGGCATTTCAGTGGGGGTGGAGATTTGCTCCAGCACAGGCCAGACCCCATCACCCTCATGCCCCTCAGCCCCTTTGGCTTCTCCTGTGCTGTTTTGTAAGACAGGAAAGAGGGGCCAGGTATGGTGGATCTGGATGGCTCCCTGGTCATTCCCATCCTATCAGTTCCTACATGAAAAGCCATTGACATAGAGAAACCTCCAGAAGATGAAAATCCATCTGTTGGTGTCACCTGAACAAGAGGCAGTTTTCCTTGCTCGTGTAGTTTCCCAGTACAAGTCCTGCAAGATAGAAGTGGCAACTTCAGAAATCAGCCCATATTAAGTAAAGCACCAACATTCAGTTTATTTCCCAAAGCACAGGGCACCACACGCCAACCATCACCGGCACTAAGGATGCTCCTGAGCCATGGCAAATGCTAAGTATTGTCACTGGTCTTTATTGTCCCTGTGTTTGTTTTCACACAGACACACAAACACACACATCCATATCAGCCATTTCCTAGTGAAGAAGTAACTGTTGCATACCACCTTCCCAATTGTGACTTCATAGGAACCTCCTCGGGGTCAAAATATCAGTTTATAATCTCATAAGAATGGCAGAGTGTCTGTCCCCCGCTCATGATGTGAACCAGTTAGAGCTCTCTGGAACCGCCTCAGGGTGGATTTGCGCAGGACCTGATGCAGTGGGCCTCTTGTCACAACACAACCTCCAGGCTTTGCCACAAGAGCTATATACACAAATCACAACAGGTCTGTGAGGCTATAGATGCTGATTTTTGCACCTGAAATGTTCATGTATGTGTCAAACGACAGCATTAGGCACAGCAAGTGCCTGGCTGGAGCTCTCATCTACAGGAGTAGCCAGTCCAATTGGTAGAGTCTACCAGGAAATGTGTCGCTTTGCTCACCTGGCTTTGCTCACCCTGAGTCTACTGAACAATAAGCTCAAACTGCTTCTCATGCGCTGGGGTATGTAGTTCATCTCTAGAAGTCCTTGACACAGGATGCTGCAGGTGCTAAAAAGGGACCTAAAGATGGTTACACAAATTCATGGAGGTAAAAATCCACCAATGGCTATTAAACATGGACACCCCTCTACCACAAGTGGTCCCTGAGCTGTGAATTGTTGGAGATTGTAAAATATTTCTGGGGAAATGCATTTATTATGTTCACACACTCTTCTCCCATCACACCTAGGATCTCTTCCATGGGTACAACCCGTCTCAGTGACTACTGCCTGGCTGACTGCGGTGGCCAGTGGAGTAGGATGTCCACCACTTCAGTCACAGGAGCAGAAGACTAGCAGCCTTTACTAGCATGTTCTTGAATTGCTCAGTTGTCCTGAGGTGACATGAGGGCACTTATATATTCCCAGCTCTGCTGCTCACCAGTGTGAGTCCTGAGCAGCCACTCCTCCTCCCTGCCCAGTACCCCATCCACAGGGGGTGAACACGACACCTCACTCACAAGCAGCTTGGGCTGGGCAGAGGAGACATTTGCAACTGCTCACAGCATGCTGTGTGATCCTTGCTAAAACACCTGCCCCAGCTTAGCGCTGGAAGTGCCGTCAGCTCCTGGGTCATCCTAAGTCGTCCACCTCCTCGTTGCGCTCTCCTCCTCTGTGCAATGCAGATAGAGACCTCTCCCAGTCCCAGGACAACCAAGGTCATACACATGTCAGCTTCCACTTCACCACTGGTGAGGCCAGTGGTCAGAAGAGCGGGTAGGAGCGTCCTTCACACGCACAACAGGTCAAGCCAGCAGAACGGCTCCCTCTGCTCGCCAGAGCACTTACTGTAATTCCCACAGCAGTGCAGCAATTCAACGGCACTTTAGATACAGCAAAAGCTTTAGAAGAGGGCGATCTACTGCCCTGTGGTGGAGTCTCCCTTCTCCTTCCCCCCCAGGAGCTGGAGGAAGCCACATCATACGCATCATTTAAAAGCAGACTAGAAGCAAAAGGCACTTGAAAACTCGCCATGGGGAACAATCGTGCCCTGCTTTAGGGCAGTAAATAACCAACTTTGTCTTGTTCATCTCGTATTTTATGGCCTCTGCTGTTTGTACAGTGCTTCACGGGAGAAAGCGAGCTAACGGAGCAGAGAGCCTGCTTGCTCCCCTGCCCCCTCCCCTGCGCAGGCACTATCTCCCCTCCTGCACTTGTCTTCTGCACAG